AGTTTGTAATTATTTTTTCTTCCCATCTTTGTGGTTAAGAATAGTATTTCCTCAGAAAGTTTCTAGATGAAATTATTTAGAATGGTACGTATGTAGCTGGTTTTTGAAGGTAAAGTTTTAGACGAGTATACTCGTCGACGACTGAAAAAAGAACATTTTGTGAAAACGTGTACACACGTTTCTGCCAGGGAAGGGGTTAAAGATGAACCTGACTTTACTTTAGAAAGTCAGGGCCCACCATTCTGTTGTAGGGCCACAGAGTGGATGGGGCAGGATGGAGAAAATAAAGACAAACACTCTGTTTGTTCCTCAGTAGAACAGTGGCGGCCAAGACCATGGACAAGGGCAGGTCTGGTTGGGAATCACAGGTCTCACCTCTTACCAGCAGAGCGGGCCTATCTGGGTGAAGCCGTGAAGGGCAGTAACACAGACACAGGAGCACAGGCTTTGGAGTCAGAATGCCTGGATTCAAACCCACGGCCCTCACTTAAGAGTTAAAACATATACCTGTGTTCTGGAACTTAATAACTGTTAGCTGTGATACCCACCATTAGATATTGAGTTATATGAGGGTAGGAACTTCCCTGTGTTGTTCACTACTGAGTCCCCAGCAGCTCACAGTAGACACTTGATAAACACATGTTGAATGAATGAATCCTGGACAACATGGAATCTCTCCTAAGCCTTGGTTTCCTTATCTGCAAAATGGGTGAGTAATAGGTAGCTCATAGAGTTACCCTGAAGCTGAACTTCAGTGAAATAACATGGAAAGCACTTAGCTTTGTGCCTGGAGTCCAGTGAGCACCCATTAAACCTTAGCTATTATTATTTTTAAAATTCACTGATACTAATAGCCACAACTGTAACTGGGAGAGATTACTTTCCGGATCTCTAAGACACAGATAGGTAGAATGACAGTATTTCTGTTCGCTAGCCCGCAAAACCTAATGTTTTCCAAGCATCTGGTGAACCTTTTAAAATGTGAACAACAAAAATCAAATTTGCAATTCAAGCCCACGTCCAAGTGCTAATGCATTCGTGTCCTAGATTGTTAAACAGCTCCAGGTTGTTGAGGTTCAAATCAAATAGATTTCCAGCATTCAACCTGAGTGAATGCTAAGAATTTCTTTGTCCTTGAGGGCCTCAAGTTCTCTCCTGCTGGCCCCTTTAACCCACATCTTGACATATACTTCATGTGTCAGCGTTTAGGAATATAAAAAAGACACCGCTGAAGACACTGAAGCTATGGTGTGGCTTTTATATTTTGTTTAGTTGTGTCCCAAATAGCATCCCCACTGTCTCAGCACCCGCTGCTATATGGAAAGGTGGTCTGAGAGTCCGATTCTCTCCTCACACCTCCGGGGAAGGAGAAGGAGAGTGGGCAGGAAGGGATAGAACCTTTCCCAAGTGTGCTTTGGAAGACTGAGGAACTCACGAGCACTTTGCTCAGTGAGCATGAGAATGGCTGACTAGCCCTAGCTGGCTTGGCTCAGTGGATAGAGCATTGGCCTGTGGACTGACGGGGCCTGGGTTCAATTCTGGTCAAGGGCACATGCCTGGGTTGTGGGCTCAATCCCCAGTAGGGGGAGGGTGCAGGAGGCAACTGACCAATGATTCTCTCTCATCATTGATGTTTCTATCTCTCTCCTTCTCTCTTCCATTCTGAAATCAATTTAAGAGAGAGAGAGAGAGAGAGAGAGAGAGAGAGAGAGAGAGAGAGAGAGAGAGAGAGAATGGCTGAGCACAGGAGAGAGAATGGCTGACTACACGAGGAAATGTCCATGTGACTTCCCCACCTCTCCAGGACCCAGGTCTCAGTCTCACCCCAAACAGCCTTGTCGTAGGGAGTCCTGGCTCTTCTGCCTTCCAGTGCTATGATTTGTGCCCCCATGGAAAAATCACAGGGCCTTTTTTATTGAGCATCAGCTTCCTTGCTCCTGGGTTACTATTATTATAAGTGTTTTCTCGCATTAAGGACGCTGTGCTGCCAGGAGCTGAAGCACACTGTTCACCCCATGCCAGTGACACTATGGGCCACCATCACTTATCAGTGACTCTGAGGGAAACAACTCCTGCTTCACACTGGCTCCAGCACCAGTCTCTGGTCTACACGCTGTAGCTCAATGGTGTGTGTTTCTGTGAAACTGTGGGGTGTGTGTATGTAGGAGATGAGGGAGATGAGAGAGAGAGAGAGAGAGAGAGAGAGAGAGAGAGAGAGAGAGAAACTGAGAGGTTGAGAGGGTCAGAATGGTTTACGAGGGTGGCATGATACCCAGACCAGTAGTAACAAGAATAGCTGTGCCCTTGGGGTTATACAGCCCTTTCACAAAGGACCATATTTAGTTTTCACAGCAAACCTTTGGGGTTGGTCATGTGCGGGTCCTGCTGGCTCTACAGGGAAAGGGGCAGAGCTTTGGAATGGGATGGGCAGGGTGGAGACACCTATAACAAGGAGGAACAGGGCTAAGATTACAGCTCCTACTGACATAGAGGGACCCTATTCCCTGAGATTCTCAGGGTCTTTGGGGTCAGTATGTCCACAAAAAGATATTCTTTCTTTCTTTAGACTTTTAGCAGTGCCAGTAAGTTAAACACACACACACACACACACACACACACACACACACACACACAATTTCTTTCCCTCCCCAAAGCCCACACCTCTTATTGCCTTGTCCTGATTTTGCATGAAATTGGTCATGATCACAGAGCTTGGGAATAAAGATGATGACACTGCTATTAATGACTACTTTAGGATGGAAGATATCAGGTAAACCATCAGATTCCTTGTCTTCTACTCCTGACGATTCTAAGAGACAGGTGTTACCTTGTAACCCTGGTCTGACTCCACAGCCCACACTACACCCTCATTCAGGACCATGAAACACAGCCGTACCTTCTTCTGCGGCACTGACTCCAATGCGAACAGTCTGATGCTCCCTCAGACTGTTTTCCGGAACCACCCTTGATTCCACCCTCTCCCCACCACCCACACTCAATTAAACCTCAAGAACTGTCTGTTCTTATCATTAATAAATTTCAAATTCTCATCTTCCACCCCCGATGACACTACTTTAGTTCAGATCATCACTTTTCTCTTGTCTTTTTGCAGCAGCTCCTGAGTAGTCTCCCTGCGCCAGCCCTGCCTGCCCTCCAACCCATTCTCTGCGTTGTGGATGTGCTTTTCTGAGTAGATGTGAGCCTGATCCAGCCCATTGCTCATCCGCAGCTCTTTGGAGCTGTCCAATGTCTTCAGCATCACAGACGTCTGGTGCACAGGCCCTCCACAACTTGACCCCGCTTACCTTTCCTGTCTTAGCGATCACCTCCGACCTTCTTTCCCCAACTGGCCCTCCAACACCAGTCAACTCTAAACCTTCGTTATACTTAATTACCTGCAGCTCTCAGCACATACAGTGTTTATTCTCTTTCTTCTGAGCCTTTGCATATGCTATACTCTTATCCAACTTCTTCATCTAACTTCCTTTGTCTTCCATGAGTCAGCTTACATTACCTTCAGTGGAGGCTCTCGTGATGGTCCCTCCCCACAACTCCTGATCTTGGGGACCCTCCATGTGCTCCCAAGTCATCCTAATACACATTGTCCTATAGCTGCTTTCTTTCTCCTTCATGGGATGGTAGGAATGGATAAACCCTAAAAAGATCTCTGAAGTAACCACACTGAGCTTAAGTCATTGATCCTCAAAGCAGGCACTTGAAAATGTTGGCCCGTATAGTATTTTAGTGGCACCTGATTAAACGTAACATTTATTTATGCTGGAAATGGCTTGTGGACTGTCCCCTCCTTAATATTTTTGAGGACAGTAAGGATTCAGGGAAACTGTGATGAGAACAATGGAGAGCATATGAAGAGAATCATGGAAGGGAAGGCTGAGGCTGAAACCCAGAGACCTGACATGACATTGCTAAGGTCACACATTTTGACACTTACATGAACTGAAAATGCTGGCTATTTTCATAATTGAATTTTAAACTTCCATACAAAGACTTCAAGTTTTCATCCATCAAAGCACCCCACCCCCAACCAAAAATGTGAGTGAACTCCCTTCACCAACTATTAGAGACACAGCTATTTCCTAATACTGAAAGATGAACTGGAATCGCAGTTTGCAGATGCTATAACTAATTTCGAGGCTCAAAAAGAACATTTTTGTCATTTTGATCTGCTCTGGTCAAACCAGAAGATGACTCACTGAATCGATTTTCACATGGTTATCCTCTCCTCACTCCACCAGCAGATAACCAGCACAGGAACACACAGGCAAATTCGACTTGCTGAGTTAAGGCATTCGATGAGTGACCCAGAATACTCACTAGATATTTTAATTAGCAGAATATGAATAGTGTGCAGAGAATTTTCAGAGTTGTCTCCTAGATTTCAGAGCCCTTAGAAAGGATTTTTTGAGGGTTATTAAGTGGTCCAATTTTCTGGACCACTGATTATCCAACTTTAAGTGACCTGGGCTACTGTGAGAAATGCAGATTTCTTGGTCTCACTTCTACAGTTTCTGATTCCGGAGCCCAAAGTGGGGTCCAGATTGGGACACAGGTTAAATGCACAGGTATCTAAAGACACTTATCAGATTTGATACAGGGTCTCAGTTTTTAGGAATTCTGAACTACATTAATAATTCTGTTCAAGTTATTGCATTCTGAAGTTATTGGTTTGATTAAAATACACACACACACATGAACACACTCAAACCCGATGTCAATATAAAATGTTCACCAGTGACATTCTGGGACAGCTCATAGACAGGGCTAGGGAACAACACTCGGGGTGAGATGCTTCCAACCTCAGAGGACCTGGGATTCTGCAGAAGCTTGCTGGATGGCTACAAGACTTTTCATGACAAGGTTTATTTTTTGTATTTTAGGTTTCTCTGGGCAGGGAGTATCCTAGACCAGGGGTGGGCAACCCCTGGCACACATGCCAAAGATGGCACGCCAGTAACTTTTGCTGGCACGCGAAACCCTCTCTTATAATCTCCCCTTTACAATTTTTTCTTAATATCGACTTTCTTATTTTTCAGATAAATTCAGTATAGGTGCATCTTAGATAAATGAATAATTTTACATAACAAATTATCTTAAAGACCATAGACATGGATTGACGAGAAAGGAAGAGCAATTTCTATGCCTCTGCCTTAACTCTCCCTGCCTTCCTAGATCCGACCAGTGTTTTGGTTTTATCCATATATGCTTGTGAATCTTTGTTCTCAGTGATGAATTTTGTTAAGTCTCGTAATAGGAGTAGCCTGACGGATGATAGTAGTAGTTCGTGCCTAACTCTAAAGGTCATGAAATATAAACCTGATGTAAAGTGTTTTTGTCGCTCGAATGAATTTTATTATTCCTTCAAGGTTCTTCACATACGTACACCTTAAGAGATATCAAGTAGGCGTAACATGTTCTCAAAAAATTAGGGTTGGCATGCAGAAGAATTTTGAGTCAGAGATTTTGCTGGTTTTGGCACGCACTCACAAAAAGGTTGCCCACCCCTGTCCTAGACATTTCCCCTTTCCACGTTATACACTTGCCTTCATTTTCATGCAATGAACTGAGGGCGTGCCATGGCCTGTGTGCTAGTGCTGAGGGTTGGACTCATTCCCAAGAACAAAGACCACCCCAGAAAGTGAACCCTTGTCAGACACGGACCAACAGAAGTTGAATATGTTTGTCTTAAAGAAATCTATGTGAAGGATAGAGCGACACACAAGAATGTAGGAACCTATCACAGCTCCTGAGGTCTCCCTTGTCAGCCTTGTACACTGCTAACACTATGTCTGAGAGGAAGGAACTTTACTACACACTAAAATTCATGTGGACACACACACACACACACACACACACACACACACACACACTAGTTCCCTGAGAGCCAAGAGTTTAAAACCTCTACTTCTGATCATCCCAGAACAAAGATTCTCCGAACCTGGTCAGTGGGCAACAATCTGGGTCACTGGAGGGGATGTCTGTCAGCCTTGAGCAGTTAGAAATCTCCATTCTGTTATGCCCCAGGAAGAAAAGGATCATCTGAACAGGGGCCTCTCCTCCTAATGGGCATCTGAAACCTCAGCTTCAGAGGCCCAAGGAAATGCAGGGGCACCATTGAGCCCCCAGCCCAGGGGAACAGGACCCTTCAGAATATTCTGGAGGACTCTGAGGTTATTCTTAGAAATGACCATGATCCTTTTCCTCCTTGCTAAGGGTCAGATATAAAGCTCTATTCCCAAGTAGTCTCAGGAATATACAACAGGGTTGTCGGAGCATGGATGCTCACCCAACTCCAGCTGTGAGTACCAGAGGAAGGTCCCCTTTAAAAGCATTTTGAGTCTTTTGGGGTGTGGCTGAAATCTCAGGTATGCTTTGATTCTTCAGTTACTTTTAAACATGTAATCAGCACCAGTTAAACGCACAATAACTACTGAGAATGGATCCTAAAACATCAGGAGAGCATTTGAGGCTGCTGACATTTACAACTGGTGGCTTCCAAGGTCTCTTCAAATCTCCATATTTCCAAATACATAAATGTTCACACAAGCCTGTGGCTTTCTCTGAACGGAATGAATAAATTGTGTTTTCGGTCATGTGAATCCTGTGGACTCTTTATATCTCAAGTTGTAAAGTTTTTCATGAGCTCTGTACAGTGAGTTTAAATCAGTGTTTGAGCAAATTATGAACTCATTAAAACTGAGACTGCTATTTCCGCAAATGCCAAGGCTATATGATTTTCAAATCTCACAAAATGTTCAGTAGAAAGCGCTGCACTTCTAAGTTTTTATCAGAGGATCTGATTCACTGCTTACTAAATATTTCAGGACATTCATGTCATTTAAGATTCTAATTGGCTGAGGACTTACCATGTACCAGGCATCAGGCTAAATGCGTTCCATGTATTACCTTGATTAATTCTCACAATAACCAGCGAGGACAGGAGTGTGTCCCAGAGCCCAGAGCAGAGCTCTCCTCAGTCCCACTTGCCTCTCACTCCGTGCTCTCACCCACTCTGCTGCTCTGTGCCTGCCAACTCCTGTCCTGATCAAACGTGAGCAAACCTTGCTTAGAAATTCTGAAAAAGTGTTTTCCACGCCTGCGTCGTGACAGTCTGGGAGGATGTGTTCATGTCTTTGAGTCAGAGCTGCCTGATTCACAGAAAGGCGTGCTCCTCTACGAGGGAGGATGTTACTGTGCAGATTTAGCATGTGTTTGAGGCGTGATGAGAGCTGCAGCCCCGAACGCTTCAGGAGGCGGCAGCTGCGTGCACCGGGTGGCAGCCCCCTGCGCCAGGTAGCTCTCCGTGGGAAAAGCTCCGCTGAGCTCTGCACTTGCCCTCAGACGCCAGCATCTGAACCCTGAGCTGCTCTGCCTTTTCATCTCCATAAGCACACAGACATATTACATTCTATTTATTTTTAAGAAGAAGAAACAATTTCCTCAGGAATATCTCCTGATATCGTTTACTAAAAGTCATGCATACATTATCCATTCAAACACGCCTGTAGCGCGACCTTGTATTATAACCTGAGATTCCTAATGGGATTTTATTTAGAGCTGTAAAGAAATGACGGTGAAGGGGGTGGGTGAGGAAAGAGGGAAAAACCAGAGGGAGGAAGAGGGCAAATGAGAAGATCACATCTCATCTGCATCGCTCACAGCTGGAGACTTACACCAACTGCACACGCCACAGAACAGGCATGTTGGAACGAAGCTCCAGATTTCGATTTGTTTATTTTCTGGGAGGAGGGAGGCGGGAGGGAGAGACACTTCAGGGAGGCTGAGGACTTTTCTCTCCCTTGGGTAGGAATCAAGAATATTTTAATTTCACTGTTTACTCAAAACGTCCCTGATTTTCAACAAGACATTCTCATTTCTGTTGGCAGCCCCTTCCAGGAGTGTCTCCATGGCCCGGAAGCCCTGCACCCGCACAGGGAGGCAGAGCACCCAGTGCCCAGACCCGACACTGCTTTTGCATAAAATCCCCGCACGTGTTTATCTCCCTTTGGCAAACAACAGTATTGAAATAAGATCGCCTAGTCTATAAAAAGCCTCTCCTTCCCTCACAGAGGTCAGACATTGCTCTTCCTTGTGAGTTGCAGTTTGCATAAAGCAAAGCTAAGGGCTTCCTGCTGGAAAAGAAGTCCTCTCTCTCTCTCTCTCTCTCTCTCTCTCTCTCTCACCATCTTAGTGAGTGAGCAAATAGGATATGGACATAGAATAGCATCTTTCTAGAAGGCA